CTATGTAAAAATATTAAGAAAATTATAAAATATAATATAGAGCTAAAAATAAATATATACTAATATAGGGAAAAAAATAAATTCTATTACAATATTATACTAGGCTATTTGAATTGATAGCCTAACCAGAATCTGTCAGTTCCAAGTTACAGTTAATAAAAAATGATAAAGAAAATATTAAAATGATAAGTACTGAGGTTTTAATGAACTTTATAAAAGTAAAAATAGTATAACATAATAGTTAAATAGATAATTTTTATAACTACAAGTATTAAGTAATTATATCATATTACATAAAACTAGATTAACTATATGTAGAACATAACAGGTTTTGGTAAGTTTTCTGTCAAGGATAAAATAATTCTAAGAGTACTAATAAGTATTAGAAACTTGGATAAGTAATGCTTTGAAGATGTTTCTATAATACAAGATAGATTGCATATACAGAAGGTTTAAATAAACAAGATACCTAACTGACTTGCAGATATGATATCTAGTATAAAACTTATTTAGTAATATATAAGCAGACTACTTAAATTAGACACCAAAAGTGCACATGTAACTAGTTGTAACCTTCAATGTAAAGAAGCCTCTAGAGGCAACCTGTGTTCTATAAACTTGAATAAAAATGTTACATTTCAAGATAGAAACTTTAACACAAAAAAAAAAAAAAAAACTATAATTAAAAAAGAATGTTACATGTGCTTCTAGGTGTTAATACAAGAAATAAAAATAAAAAATTAAAAGTTTCAAATGTAACCAGTTGTATGCTCTTTCTGTAATAGTTTTATGTAAACATGTTATTCAAAAAATATTAATAAAGTCAAAAAACCAAAGAGGTTACCTTAATAATAAAAAAAATTTATTAATAAAATATTAATTAAAATACTTATTTAACCAAATTTGAATGCCTCTTTTGAGAATTTGTATGCCTATTGTTACATAAAATCTACAAGTCTGCTCAATAAATAAGGATTTTTAAAAAATTTATTTTTGTAATTTTGATTATCCGAAATGCAAAAATATAAATCGGTCACTTTGTTCTAACAATAAAAAAAACTGCAATAAATTTTTTTATTAAAAATTTCTTAATAATAATCTCGTTAAATTCAACAATTTTTATTTATTTTAATTCTTAAAGTCAAAAGAATTAAAATAAAAAAATTTATCAAATTTGATTAGATAATCATTGAAATATCTTAGTTACTAAAATTGAAAAAAATTTTTTTACTATATATAGCCTTTTGTTTTTTTCTAAAATTGTTAATTTTTTAAAACTTCAAGCAATAACTATCGTAATAAATTCGGAAAAAAATTTTTATTTTAATTCAATTAAAAAAAATTTCACAAAATAGTTAAGCATTCATTGAGAAATATTGGCTTTAAAATCTCAAATATTACAAGGATCATGATCGATCATCCTCGCGACATATTTCGACCTGGAATTTTGGTGATCCTTGAAAAAAATAGAACAAGAAACATATGGATGAATAAAGGAGTTTCATGCATTTTATTTTATTTTATTCGTTTTTAAACATTTCACATTTATTTCATTACTATCAAGAAAAATTACAAAAGTGAATGAAATATCGTGACCCTAAATAAAATTTTGTAATTAAACAAATATAAATGAATAAATAAATAAATAAAAAATAATAAAGACTATATATACATGCATAATTAACCAGAATATTTCAAAATTGTAAAGAATACAAAAAAAATAATTTAGTTTGTGGGGTTACCAAATTTAAAGTCCATAAACCGTGATTTTTGCTGCTGGTAATCTTCATTACTTCTGAGTGATTTACGACTATTTTCTGTGCTCGAGTCGTTTTCGGTTTTATTATCATCTCCCAAAAAGAATGAAGAAAGTGACGAAATGCTTGAAGAAAAACTTCTTCGGATCTCATGAAAGAACCCAAGAGATTTTCGTTTCTGATTCTCTCTTGAGTCGTCTTCAACTATACTACGATCAGTTTTGTTTTTTGGCAGTCCATTGGTAATGTTATCATTTTTATGAGAATCACCATTTCTTGTATTTAATGCCTGAACTTCTTCGTTATTATTTATTCGTTCTTTATCATCTTGAGAATTAATATTTTTTTGAAACAATTCCTTAAATGATTCTTTCATTTCATGGGAAAAGAATTTCATATTTTTCCTGAATGTCGTTGACAATTTTGTGATTTGATTATCCAAATCACCAACATCCTGATTATTGTTTTGTAAAATTTCTTCATGAACTTTTTGAAGGTCAGGCATACGTTTGATGTATTTGGTATAAAGCTGCTTCTCCATGATGTCAGATGGGTGCACCAACTTTGTACCATTCAAATCGACACCTTCTTTTTTCAATCTATCAATAAGAGAATCAAAATGACATTGTGTCGGTTTGTAATGTCCGGACTTTGGATTAAGTTCAATTAATTTTCCGTTTCGAACTCTGATTCCACCAGCAGCAGCAATAGCACCCCCAGATAAAAAGGAAGAATGGTGAAAATGACCTTTAACTTTTCGGCTTACAAAAAAATTTCCGTTACAATCCGTCACATAAATCCATTTTTCATTTTTTCCTTCACTGACACGTCGATGAAGTGATGATTGATTATTTTCTCCTTCATCTCCATCACTTCGTTTAATGTTTGCAGGAAAACTTGGCGTTGAATCTTCTGATTCATGTGTGTTCACTGGCTTTCCGCTTTTCTTGTAAATTAATAACCCATCTTTGAAGATGACTTCGTATTCCAAACGCTCCGTTTTTGAACAATATTTTACTGTCTCATTTTCAAGTTGATTTCGTGGACGAACATTTAGGTCAAGATTTTTGCCACCACCTTTGTCAAGCCAATCGAAAAAATTTTCCTTTGTTGGGGTTTTAAGCCAATAATCATGATAAATCTTTGAAATAAAAATAAAGAGATTCAAATTAAGAAAGGATTTTCTTCAACAATTGGCATCAGTGAATGTCATTAACAAACCTTTAAATTCGCACCATATCTGTGTTTGGAGTCACAAATTTCTAACCAATGTTCTGTATCCAATAAAAGCCACATATGACCATTAACATTTCTTGTTCCCTATTTTTAAAGATTAATTAAAGGAAAATAATAAAATTTTCTGTTAAGTCAAACGAAGAGTGATGACTTTTGCCCTTTTTTAAAGAAAAAAATGACATGACTTTGGTCATCGGCCAAAACTGATTTAATGAAATTAAGTAAATGGTAATTACTTTTCCAATACGTTCAATGACATGCAATTTGGATGCTATTTTTGAATCTTTTCGATGAAGTTGGCTTTCTATAGTATTTAATAGCTCCTCCCATTTTAACCAAACTGGGCATGAATCGCAATGACCAGGTAAATGCAAACAAACAAATTTTTCAGAATGAAGTTTGTCTCGAGATTCGGAAGATATAACTCTGCCGAGTTTTTCTCTCCGTAATCTTTATAGATTCAAAATAAAAAATTTAATAAAAGCAAAAATAACATTAAGAGCATTTATGAATAATTACCGATGATTCCGCCAAGCTTTTGCAATTTTGTTAACCGATTCCTCGGCATTTGCATTTACTGCCAGTCTAAACTCTGGAAATTGATTTGATGTTGTTAAAGTGTCCCGACTTTCATTGTTTTCTCGATCTTTCAGAGGTAGAGTTGGAATCATGCCGTTTTTATCGACAGTATGGGGAGGCGTATTCGGTTGCGTCATTTTAACTTTTTTTTCAAAACCGACCTTTATATCCTTATTATATACAATTCGAAAAGTGAAATATCACATGGATTATATGTTTCACAAAACCGCCTAAGAATGGTTTTCGGAGATATGTAAATCCGAATTCCTGTCAAACAAACTACTATTGACAATTGTTGCTTTTTAGATAATAAAAATAGGAAAACCATTAAAAATTTATATTCTGGCTGGTTTATTTTGTAAATTTGTCAGCAAAACCAACACTACAATAATTTGAAACGAAAAAAAGGTAAAAGGAATTGATAATCAAAATTTGAACGGTTGACGATTTTGGTTTTTCTGAATTCACGTTTGTCAAAAATGATATTGAAATTGATAAATTTATTGTTCTGAGAATTCATGTGTTCTTCGTTTAAAGCCTAGTCAAAATCTTTTTTGGATGGGATTAAAAAAACACTTAACCGGATTAGATCAACAATGTCCATTATTATCATTTGACCCACTTGTTATATCCGATCCGGCCGATCTAATCAATTCTAATTTTACGAAATTTAAATTCTCTAAATAATATTAATATCAAATAGGTTCTTTAAAACATGTTACTTTTTTTTCAGGAAATCAAGACTATAATTTATTGCAGTTTGGATCATTAGAAAAGAAATCACTTGATTGTTAGACGATTTTTACTTTAAGCTATGTTGTATTACTTTACATAAAAAATAAAGCCATGATTGTGTATAATATAGTACAAATTAACGTTGATGTTAATATTTTTAAAATATTTTGGCCAGAATTATAATCAACTTGCTAAATTTGTTATATAATAATAAATCGTTTTTACTAAATCACACCACTAGTGTTCAACACCAGTATTTTGTATAACATAAAAAATAACAATAAACGAATCTTCTTTAGTATAGGTGGGTACAGTGTTGTACATTTTTCACTGTCCAAGGCATGTTCGATGTCTAAACGTCCAAGTGTCCAAAGCATGTTCAAGCTTTAATAAATAACAGATTTTTTTTTTTAATATTAATAGTGAGGCCATGCCTCTATTTTTATTGAATATTTATTTGAAATTTTTATATAAAGCATAAATTTATTTTTAAAAATATTATAAAAAGAGTAGAAGTTCAAACTAATTTATCTGTAACCTAAATCAATAGGAGTAACTAAGGTTCATCTAGATTTGGATGTTAGTAATTATATATGAGAGATTAATTGGTATTTGATCTAGGGTTTTTCTAGGTATTTTTGGTCAGAGATATATAAGTTATATATCTCTGGCCTATTAACCAATCAAATTAATAAAAAATAACATAAGTAAAACATGTAACATACACAACATTTCCTAGATCAGGTCAGAAATTTGATTAGAAAATCATATTGGAACTTTATTTTTATAAACTCTAAACAATTAATTAAATTCTTAAAATTAATAGAATCTTCAATTCAAGCAGAAACAAGATTATAAAAAATTTTCAACCAAAATTTCTATTTTATAAGAAACAATTCTTAAACATGTTTGCAAAAAATCCTATTACAGTATTTGTCACCTATTATAGTAATATAAAAAATTTATAGTTAGTTTGTATTGAAATGATTATAATTTCTATAATGATTAACTATAAAAAATTTTATTACTGTATTTACCAACTATTATAAGAACAAATTATTTAGACCAAATTATATTAGTTTAGTATTGGAATGATTGTGATTTTATTAGTAATTTGCTATAAAAAATTGATACTAAATTTACCTACTATTGAATAGCATAAGTGACTTATAAAGGTTATATTAGAATGAATTAGAATAATTATGAATTTTATAGTAATTTACTATAAAATATTCTATTAGTGTATCTATCAAATATTGTGATTATGTAATCTAGACAGAGTTATGTTAGCAAGAACTATTTTTGTTGTAAAATATTCTTTAATCATACATACTTAACAACTATCATGTAACATGAAATTTTAGATAACATAATCATGATTTTTATAACAATTTATTATAAAAAAAATTATATTACTGTACTTATTGACTACTGTGATAATATAGATGATTTAGATAATATTACATTAGTTCTGTAAAATGATTATAATTTTTAGTAATCTGCTATAAAAAAATTCTTTTTATTATATTTGTTGACTATCATAATGATATAAATAATTAGATAAGTTTATGTTAGTCTGTATTTGATAATTATTAAAAAAAATTTTATTACTGCACTTACTGACTATTGTAATAGTGTAAGTAGTTTAGACAAAGCTATATTAGTCAAAGTTATTTTAGTTCTGTATTGGAATAATCAATTTTTATATTAATTTGCTATAAAAAATTCTGTTACTAGATTTTTAACTATTGTAATTATTATACTTGCTATTGTGATAAAATTTATTTTTATATAATCTGTCACTGTATTTACTCATTGTAGTAACATAGTAATTTGGATGGATTAGGTCTATCAAAATTAAATTTAATTTATAAAAAAACTTCTGTTTTCAACAAAAAAAATTCAATGCATCATCTAATTTTCAAAAAGCACAAAATCAAATTATTATATTTTATGTAATTTTCATATCAAATATTATTGTTGGTTACTGCTTACAAACTTTATTTTTTAAAATTGAACAGTACTTGTATATACTGTGTGAAGGATCAAGTATCATATTTGAAGATATACTATGTTAAATGCAATAAATTTAGTTATCCAGATCTTATTTAAAAAGAAGGCTAATAAGAAAGAATGCTCAGGTTTTAATTATAAGACATTATTTTTGAAAAATACTATAAGTAGTAGCTAATAAAGTAATAATTTAACAAATTTAAGTATAGTTTAAGAATAAAGTTCTCATATTTAAATAATAAAACTGAATTTGTATATAATTCCAAACTTTATTTCTTTTATTTATAATATATAAAGCTTAATAAATCTTCAGAGCCAAAAAAAATCCAAATAATTTACTAAAATATCATTATACTATTTTGTAATTTTGAGATCAACTTGGAATCTTGTTAATAAAGCATATATAAAGTATAAGTAAAATGATTAGCTTTTATTCCATAAATAAATTCAAAAAAAATATAAAAAAAAAAAATTTATTTCAATTATAAACATGTTTTTGTAGCTGGCTTAAGTTAGTATTCTCTTTGGTTCTGGATCAAAACTACTTCAAGATATTTTTTTAGTCAGACTTGCTTTCAAAACTAACTTAAGTTAATATTATTACTTTGGTTCTAGATTAGAACTACAAGATTTTTTTTTGGCTGGTCTTTATTTTTTTTATAGCAGATACATTTTTCTTTTCACTTCTAATCTTTTCCTTTTTAAATCATCTAACAGCCTTATTTTTTATAAGGTTGTTGATTATTGAAAGCTCAGAGGATGCTAAAGTATTTTTATAAGTTGAAACAAGATTGTTGTTAGAGACATATAATGTTTTCAAATACTTTTTGAGATACAATATAAAATCTGCACATTTGTCAGAGTTCATTGCAATCTTATTTGCAATTTTTTCTAATAGTTAATAAATATGTATAAACTAAATTTGAGAGTCACCTTTACCAGATAATTCATGTAATGTTAAAATTCTTGAGATTTGTGATTGTAATTGACTATAGAAATTAATATAATTCTTTATAAATTTCAACTTAAGCAGCTTTTTTTGTCAATATTTTGAAAAGTGCACAGAATCAAGATAAGCAAAAGATAAATAAATAGCAGCTACAAAAGAATGATAACAAACTATTTTAGCAAATTTGAGATTAAAGCAGTTACAAGAAAGTAAATGATCATTATAGTAGACCAAATATATAACATCAGGTTCTTTATAACATAACAATTTAAAACAATGCACTTCTTTATTATTGATTATGTTTTCACATGCATATGTGTTTTTTGCATTTCATTCAGTCTCAAATTTTTTTTAAGCATATCACATTAAACAACTAGTAACTTGATTTTTGATAGGGTTTAAGAAAGTCAAAGAAATAGAATAAACAAGCTCCTTATAGGCAAAAATATGCTCAGCCTTTTTACAAAGATTGAGTGCATGTTCAAAGGCTTTTAAAAATTTTATTAAGCCTCATTTTACAACTAATGAAACCTTTTAATAGGCTGTTCATTGATTCTCTTTTTGTATAAATGACATATTAGCAAAAAAATAATTTTTTAAATATACCAGAGCCTACTATTTATACTACTAACTAAAAACCTTCAGTTACAACTTTGCCTCAGTATAATCAACATTTTTTATTATATAATTCTACAGATTCTTAAACTTATTTTAATTAATATAATAGTTTAAGCATTTTATAAAATTTATGTAAAACATATTATATTTTTTTTTAAGTTTAGAGGTCATATTCAATCTTATATTCTTTAATATATGCCAGATGCAAAGACTATGCTTAGTGCCATATTTATTGGTAAGTACAGAGTAAATAGCATCAAACATAATCAGATTATTGTCTATAAAAATAGTGTTGAGTGCAGTGCCAAAAATATAAATAAAGAATTCAAAAAGCTATACAAAACTTGAGATTATTTTATCTTAAAGCAACTTGCTAGCAGCACAGTAAGAGAGACCATTATTTGTACTATCTGTAAACATATCAAAAGGCATTGAGAAATAATTGCTCTTATATGTATTATTATAAACAATTGTATCATAAAGCATATGTATTGTTACTTTTGTAATGCATATACCCAAGTACATGTTTTAGTCGATTATTACTATTTAATTCAAATTCGTAAAAAAATTCAGAATTATTGTTATACTTTTGTTAAAGAAAAAGAAGAAAATTATAGACTTGAAATTCATTATGTAACATGTAATTAGCATCAATCAAATTATATATATCTTTTATTACTTACATCTAACTAGAAAAAATAATATTATTACATCTTTTCTAAGTTTTAATAATAACTATACTTTTTAACAAATATAACAAACTAGATGTTATAAGAGATTATATACAAACTATACTTACTCATGTCTATATAGAGTAGCTAA